GCCGCTAGGCTGTTAGTAGGACAATATTGGAAGAAGGAATCCTTGCCTACATTGCAGGAATGGTTTCTTAAAGTAGCTTATCTGGCGGAAATGGCAAAGATCTCGGCTTTCTTAAAGCAACAAACGCAAGAGAAGTTTCTTGCTGTTTGGGATAAATGGATAAAATTTATACAATTTAGATTGGGTATACAAAAATATTATATAGTTTTTTCATAAGTTTTATTTTTATATATATTATAGATAATTTTTTTATATATATAAATATAAAGTTCTTAATTTAATTTTAATTTTTACTTTTTAAGCCTATATTCTGCTCTGGGAAGCTCAGGGGGGGGGGAAGGGAGGGGGGGGTTTTGGGAGGGGTGGGGTTTTTTTTTTTTTTATATATGTATTGTTTAGTTTTATTTTTTTGTATATGTTGTCTCTTGTTTTGTATTCTTTTTTCTTTTTTGTAAAATTTATAAAACTTTTAATAAATAAAAAAAAAATATTTTTTTAAGAGAGGATGTAAATTTTATAATAAATAAAAATTTAAAAAGCGTCACCAAGACTAACAGCAAGTAATATAGAGGCTGGAGCCTTTATGATCAGCATCATCCTCTGATTCCAGCCCGAATTTTGGAATCTTACCATGATATTGTGAAAAGAAAAAAAGGGCTTATAGGTTTGCATAAAATGTAGGACTAAAAAGCAGATGCCATGTATCAGCTACAGATGTGGGGCAGAACAAAAATCCCCCATCTTTCATATTGTTTCCATGGATAGAAATTAGGCAACTTATGGGGCAGGGCAGTAATGGCGGAGTCTAGGATTCATTTCTAAATGTGAAGGCCATCAGGATCCAGACCATGGTTTGAGTATTAGCATTCCCTATGGATGGTTCAGTGTGTGTGGTGAATATATTTAGCTCTACTCTGATGTTTCTCAACTTTGTGGCTTTAAGATGTGTGGACCAACTCCCAGAATTCCCAATTAAAAGTGTCTGCAAGGTGTGCTCAAAATGGCAGCCACAACAGACTAATCAAAGCACACAAATGCACTTAAAATTAGGCAGAGCTTCAGCTGCACTGTCATTGTTGCCATCTTGACTTCAATGGTCTGCTATAAAGTAATATACTTGGCTGCTCTAACCACAGTTTAACTCAGCTTAAAGGACACCCCATGTTGTCTGGGGAATTCTGGGAATTGAAATCCACACATGTTAAAGCGGCCAAGGTTGGGAAACACTGCTCTACTCCATTGCCTACAAGTACAGTAGATCTTGGCTGTCGGGCTTTCATTTGGGGAATGACATTATCTGCAAATGCCTTCAAGGACATGCTCTCAACAGGGTGGAATATCGCTAAAGGCAGGAGATGCAATTCTGAAGAGTTGCTAAGTTTTAGTATTGGTTTTCTGTGGCAGCATGGAAGATGCTGTTGAAGCAAATTATTTTCGCCTGTTTGAAATGAGAAGATCCCTCCTTAAAGCAGCTCATTGGAGGATAGCTTGGAAGTTGAGATGTCATGATAATATATGGGAATAACAGATGTTGGAACAAAAGTCTTCTAGACACTGATGCTTCTTTTACTTGAAAAGTTGTCATTTCTCACTGCTTTAAGTGCCCAAAGCTTTTAGGAAAGCTGAACACTTTTCCTCCACAGTCACAACTTTAGGACTGCTGGTATTTTCCCTGCAATATAAAGTGGGGGGGGGAGAAGAATCTTTGTATGAGACAGCTTTGCATCTTCCTCTAATTTTAGCTTCTGATTACAACACAGTGGGGGTTACTGCCCTCTCTGTTTTACTGCTGTCCTGCAGTTTTTGCTATGGAGCTAAAAATACCCTTGTGTTGTGCACTCCAAAACATCGTTTAGCTCCAGCTGTAAGAGTCCCAGGGGGTGGTTGTGAATTGTGTTTTCTTTTCAGAAAAGGGTTGTGGGGAGATCTTATTGCTTGCACATCTTCCTTTGTGGGAAGTCCCTTCTGTCTTTATGCCCCTTGCCTAATCCCTGGGGAAGAGGCTACTTCTATTCCACGATGAAAATCCAATTAAATATGAAGACAAAACTGATTTTTGTCATGCAGAAGGCCAAAATAATTGCATACATTCTGACTGTTTGAAGTCCAATTGAGTGGTATAACTGTTCTCCTAAGGCTATCTACAGAGGTTTTTTTTGGGGGGGGGGTAAGGACACCTTGGGAATTTCAAGAGCATTTAGAGGACATACATATATGGTTTGTTCTAAAAACAGCTATTAGGATGGACAGCCATCACCAAGCCTATGTGTGCCAGAAGGCTGATTAACTGCAGAGGATGCTTTCCCAGTAAGAGTTCAATGGAACTGAAGGTACAATTGCATTGGAGTTTTGCTGCATGTGAGCTTATTTTCTAATTAAAAGACTCTTTTAAAAGTCAGGTAGGGCAGGGAACCTTAAAGGGATAGTGCCCATATTGCCAGCCAAGAGTGATGGCAATTTTGCAGTGGAATGCTGCAAGGGTTATGCAAGCAGAGAGACAAGGCAGGTTTTAATCTTAGTTCATCAAAACTGGGGAAACATATTTCCAACCTGGAAATATTAGCCTAAATCATGATGAAAATGTCAGATGGAAAGATGGAACAAGAAAACATTTTCATTTTTGATGGACTTGAAGTAAGGAAGCTCCTTCTTCTGCAGTGTTTCTCAACCCCAGCAATTTTAAGATATGTGGACTTCAGCTAGCATGGGGAATTCTGGAAGTTAAAGTCCACACATCTATAAATTACCAAGGTTGAAAAGAAGAAACACTGTTTTAATGTGTCAAATCACAGGACCAGGCAACTTAGGGAAAATATATAGTGGGAAAGGGCCAGGCAAGAGCCTTTGGCAGTCCTTGGGATTTAGTCTCTAGATAACAGCCAACCCAGTTGGATCTGACCATCCTGTCCTGCTTTCTCTCTCCAGCAGTGAAAGCAGGCAGCTATTCTACTGAATCTCCACTAAAGATGAATGGCCTCACTCATATTTGTTGTCACCCAACCTCTAATATCTTCAGGATTTATACAAGAGCCTTGTAGGTTAAGGAAACTGAGTCACTGTCTTATTTAATTTATATTTTAATTAACTCCCTCCCCCTCCATTAGCTACACTATGGTTTTGCATGCTATTCAAAAGCCAAATGGAATTTTTATAGATTCTTGTAGCTTAGCTCTAAGTTGCAAGCAAAGTCATCCAGCCAACATGGCAGGGGAACAGGTTGAGGGACCACCTCTTCCTGACCATATCTACCCACCCCAGCAGATCCAACAGGAAGGGTTGTGGCTCCCATCTGGCAAGGAGCTCCCTCTGGCGGAACCCAGGCAGCATGCCTTTTCTGCTGTGGCTCCTGCTCTCTGGAGTATCATTCCCAGAATTTTTTCCTGAAGCCCTTATGGCTTTCTAGAATCATCAGTTAGGCAGAAGAAGAGGGGACCCCAGAGGCATCAGGAAAATTCTGCCTGGAGGCCCCTGTTCCTCGTCTGTTATTACTAAGTGGGTTCTATAAACTGAAATCCTAGGGCTAAGCTCGGGAGTTTATTGGAAAACAGCTGAGCGAGATAACATAGTGTTCAGGCTGGCTTACAGCCAAATGCCTTTCACTGGTTAAAATAGTCAAGAGGCAGTTTTTCAGAGTCATTTATATTTGGGTAAAGCCTTGATGGCAAAAAAGTAACAGACACATTACTTTTGATTATGCACGTTACTGCATAATCAAGGAAATGAAATAATAACAGTAGCATGGCCAAAGATCAAATTTTTGGAGATGTGGATGACCTTTTTTTGCTGTTGTTGTTAAAAATGGTCTGTTCATAACAAAACTAGTCTCTTACATTATGAGTTCTTTATAATGACCATCTCATTAACTCTCACCAGAATCAAGGTTCCATTTTGTAATGTGCTCGTACAGGTTAATTTGACAAAGTGCACCAGCACTGCTCATACACTGTATCCCTACCTGGGGCTATTCCAAAGGAGGAGAATGGTTTGATTTTCATTTTGAGATGTGTGTAATACAAGTGAAATACATCATTTGTGAGAAAATCAATAGAAAAATAACTTTGAAACAAATCAAACAAGCAAGTGAGCAAAAAAAAGGTCACAAAATCTCTAAAACACCCTCAGTGCCTTTTCTGTTTGCAAATGCTTGCAGAATACTGAAATGTTGATGCCTCTTCCTGCCTTGAAATGTCAATTCACCACTTCTGCAAACCTTTTCAGATTTTATTCATACAACAGCTTTAACCTCATTACAGAACCAACAATGGGCTCCTGTACATGCATTAACCCATAACCTAACCTAACCTTATTAATTTAAGGTTTAATTAAAAATTTGGAAAAATTAAATATTAAATGTAATCTGAATGTCTACAAATAATTAAGATTTGAATTTAAGATATTGTTATGAGTTGAGACAAAGGTTAAGTAAAACTTAAAAGTATAAGTACTAATAATTAAATTTGTATATGGGTTTGTGGTATAAATGTTGGTGGTTTATTTTATTTTTTTTCTCTCTTTCTGGAAAGGAAGAAAGGAAGGAAGTAGAAGGAAGAAAAGAAAAAAAAATTATTAGCTCCAAATGTGAGATAGGAGACTTAGAAATTGGGATCATTTAAAACCTGGAAATGATAAAGATTAAATGTTAAACTTAAAGATTAATGGGAAATTAAAGTTAAGAAAAACTTACTAGGTTATTGTCTAAAAGGTGGAGTGTCAAATTAATTAAGGTATGTATAGACTGAAAATTATTGATGAATACTAGAAAGGTATTTTTTGTTTGATTAATAGAATAAGAACTGTATTGGTTTGAACATGACAGTAGATATCATGGGGGAAAGAGAGGGAATTAGTTTGTTGTAATAATTTGAGATTCGTACTGATGATATTCAAATGTAACAGAATTACTGTGCTCAGCCACGACGCTACTTTTCAAATATGTAAATGTAATATTGTAAAATCAATAAAAAACTTGAAACTGATAGAGAATTGAGGCAGCTTATTAATAAAATAAGCAAATAAGTAATTAAATTCCATACATGCTGTTATTTCTCCACTTCCCCAAATTTAGATTGCAAGCAACAGTGGATGGATTTGATTCCTGCTTTGTTTATAAATGTTTGAATGCACATAACCTAATGGTGTCATTGAACTAACAATTGTTCATATCATAGCTAGTGGAGTGCTTGTCTGAAGGATGCATGTCCTTAGAAATGCTGCACTTGGTGGGTGAATATTTTGCAGGTCTTCCTCAACAGGCAAAGCTCATAGCAGTTTCTTGGAAGGCTCAAAGAGTTCCCAGTTAGATTAAGGTCTTCTAAATGAGGACTGGATTACTTAAACATGTTCTTCCCTCTTTCAAATCAACACTTTGTTATGAAAAGCAGTTTTGAAGCATTCAGTTAGTACTTTAAATATTCCAAATCAGGATTGCCAGCAATCCCCTGGCAGTCCTTAGCCAGGAGAAACTGAAACCCTGGATTTTCACAGCACAAGCTGCTGCTATGGATGCAAATGTTGTTTCTCCAATGTTGACTGTGGGCAAGATTTGGGGCTGACGAAGGCCCTTTCTGCAGCAACAGACTGCTGTCATCTGAGCAGGAGACGGCTGGCATTCTCTGGGTGGCTTCCATTCTTTCCAGAGCAAGGATCTCACTTTGTAGAGGGTAAGGCAACATGATACCCTGCAAGCAAATTACAGAAAAGAGCACTGAGACCTTGAGCTGCATGTGGTGGTGGTCATACAAAATGCTTAACCAGAGCAGGTAAAGACCTGCTACAACCTACATCTTATGCTTATTGGTAGTATGCTAAGTGAACCCAGCCTATATAGTAAGTTTACAGTTCCATATATTGCAGTGGTTCTCAACCTGTGGGTCGGGACCCCATTTGGGGTCGAACGACCATTTCACGGGGGTCGCCAAACAAGGCTGTCCACCATTTTTCCCCCTTTTTCTTTGGCCATGCCCCTGGCACCCGGTGATGTATAAGTGGTTGGGGGTCACCACAATATGGGGAACTGTATTATGGGGTCGCGGCATTAGAAAGGTTGAGAACCACTGATGTATTGTTTAAATAAAAACAACAAGTTAATTGAAAGTCCAGCTTGATGAATACAGCCTTTGGCCCTGTCTACATCACATAGTTGACCTATTGTGCCCCTTTCCTAATCAGCATACCTTTCTGTGCTGGCACTGAAAAACCATCACAGATAACACAGACAGTCATTTGATGACTGTATTTTCAATTCACAAGGCCACCAAAGTCTGTTATTTCTCTTCCCACTTTCTGCCTTTTTTTATTCACCCCAGAATGAAATCCATAAACTATTACTGTTGGACAGCTGCTAGCAGGTATGGGGGACTCTTATCTGCTTGTTTGCTTGTTGTCTCTTTTCCATGTATTGTGTGGCTGGGAGGGAGGGTTACAAACTGAAACAGAAATGAAGATTGGAAGAATCTCATCCAATGAAGTATTCAGAGTTCTTCTTGGACTTCATAGCAATCTCACACGCTGGAGGGGAAGGTTAGTTCCAGCTACACAGTTTTCACGGAATTGTGTTGAGTTACCTTTCTGGAGAACAATTTAGTGTCCAAACAAGTGGCCAAATCTGAACTCTTCTGAATTAATTGGCTGGATTTAGAATTTATATCACACACCGTCCCTCTTATCTTTTAAACCATACTGTGCAAACAGGAGCACTGACTTTACATTGACTTCTACAAATTTTAAAAATACATATTTCACGTTTACACATGAAAACACTTTTTAAAGACACTTCTTCAAGATACTTGTATGTTACCTTGAATAATATTTGACAATGGATGGCCTAGGAGAGGGCTTCAGTTGATTCTGTCAACTGGAGCTTATCGCTGTTCCCTCCCATCTGTGATTGCAATGAGGGTCGTCCTCTGTGCTATAGGCAATTTCCTCCTGAATCCCACTTCATGGAATACAGTATAATCAAAGTCTTGAACTACGTGCTGTAGTTGCCTATATGAGACACATCATATCACTATGATAACAATTTTCATAACATAGTTACAGCCTTTCAAATAATGCTAAATTATAGTTCTCGAGCCAAAACCAGTATGTGCCGTGATTAGGAATACTGAGAGTTGTAGTTCAGTAACATTTGGAAAAACTAAGTTTTCGGCTCATGGTCAAGATTTATAAAAAATCAGTCTGGGTTATGTCTTTTCTTCCATTTTAGAAGAAGAAAGCACAGAATGCTACATTCTTTCTGCTTTTATTTTGGGAATCAAAGTGGCTGTGCAGATGAGAATATGATATGATTGAAACTTAGAAGAATAGAATAGAACAGAAAAATAAGTTTATTGTCACTTTGAATGTACACCAATCGGCATACATTAAAATGAAATTTCATTGCACACAGTTCTCAAAGAGTCACCACCTCCGATATACACTACATGAATATGACATAAATAAATAAATAAATAAATACAGAATTATGCATATACCCACATATATTATATGACACAGAGAAACAACAGTCTAGTTTGGGTTATGTATACATGTGCATGGTGAGAAAAATGAATCTTGCGAGTTTACCAGATGTACAGCATAGGGAACAAAGCTGTTACAGAATCAGGTAGTGCTGCTAGAAATACTTTGAGGGGAGCAACAGAAACAGACCGTAAAGATAGATGGATGGATGGATGGATGGATGGATGGATGGATGGATGGATGGATGGATAGATTAGCCTTTATTGTCATTTTTTACTATGGGCACAATGGCACACATTAAAAATTAAATTTAATTGCTTTCTCTCAAAGTGTACACATACATAATGCACATTTAAACATACTATATATAACATGTATACAACATACAACATAAGGCTGGAAGTTGTGGGTAGCATTTTAAAATCTAGGGGACAAAACTAAATGAAGTATAGAGAAAAAGTTTCTAAAGGTAGAGGGAAAGGAGACATTGTAGAAGGTAACAAAATTACAATATAGACAAAACAGATTCAGAGCTTTTCTGCAGATTCAGAGCTTCACAGAACTTAGAGACCTTTCTATATTGATCAATAGAACTGACAGCACAACTGGGACTTGTCCTTCTGATTCTCTTTGCTGTTAAATGTGTGGTTTTGGCTAGTGTGTTTTATGCTATGGAAACTAGCAAGAGCAAACTTCATCATGGTGTAGGAAAAAGTCAAGGCCAGTATCTTGGTGCAGGAAGGATATTAGGCCATCTGCAAGACTCTAGAGTAAAAAATGAAGGACACAAAAGTAGTTTTGCCTCTTTTTCTCACACTAGTAGAATTTTGATTTATTTCATGATTGAAGATACAAAAAATAGGAATAGCTGTAAATAACATACAGCTAAACTGATGATTTTCCTGCCACAACATAAGGAAATAACTGAGATGATGTTAAAGCAGGGGTCCTCAACCCCTGTCTGTCCAGAACTGGGCCGCAGAAGTGTGGACAAGCACGTGCATGAAGCTCCATTTGAGTGAGTGGTATGCCCACCACTTGCGCAAACGGAGCTGCACTCGCATGCGCTCACCCACCATCCCCTCTCTACCATCCCCCCTCCAGTCCACAAATCCAGAAAGGTTGGGGACTGCTGCTTTAAAGGAATGAGACAAAATCATGAAGGACAAGGGTTTTCTCAATGGCTATTAACTGTGATGAAATGTACAACTCACAGGTTCAGAAGGAACCTATGACTAAAATACTGTACTAACAGGGGAGAATGGTTTCTGATTGGCCAGTGAGAAAAATAAGATGCTAGATGTATGGCAGCTTTTATCCAATGTGATTAAAACCTTAGTAGATACAGTTGGGCATATTAAATTCAGTTAGCGTTAGCCTTGGGTGGTGCTTTTGTGAACTCTTGTGTTATGAAGATCCAACTTACTGTACTTTCCGGCGTATAAGACAACTTTTGCAAGCTTTAAAATTGGCACCGAAGTCGGGGGTCATCTTATACGCCGAGTCGCCTTATACGCCGGAATATACGGTATTTGGTTACTTTATGAATTACCATATTGTTGGAACCCAGAAAATGAGTTAATTTGATAGGTATCATTTGATTATATGTGAATGCACCCTATTTGTCATAAGTCTAATACAACAGGACCCAGATTGTTGGGGGCAATATGCTGACTCCATAAACAGAGAGGGCTGTAAAGCACTATGAAGCGGTATATAAGTCTAGATGCTAGTGCTAGTGCTATTCTTAAAATGATGTCCTCTGGTCACAATTTTATTCAGTGATGAACGATAAAAATATGTCATAATACCATGGCTCAGTATCCAGAAGTCTGAAATTCCCAACAATGGGAATATGGCCAGCCCCCAGGTTCCATGCAATTCCTGCAATATAGATGGAAAATGAACTTCATAATGGCTTTAGTTACATTATTTCTAAACCAGAAATAAGTCACCTCGGTTGCTAAACAGAGAAAATGCCACGTGATCACAGGCATGGAGGTGATCCTGGAATAGTGCAAATGTTATGCCTACAACTGCATTAGCAGCAGATGGCCCTCTCTTTCTCTTCCACTGAGCAAGTAAATTTATTTAACAACCATGGCAAGAAAGGTCGTAAAAAGGGGCAAAAATATACTTAACAACTGTCTCACTTAGCAACAGAAAGTTTGAGCTCAATTTTACCCCCTCGCAGCCTCTGGAACTATCTCTAAGAATGCCTCTTTGAGGACACTTTTCTTAATTCTTTCCAACCTCTCCTCCTAAACCATCTTTTCCATGACATCTTGAGCACAGTTCCAAGAACAGGCCAGTTTTAATTGGTCAAAGGCACCAAAGTCATACTTACAGTTACAGCTTGGGAGCGAAAAGTTAAGGGCCACAAGTGGATAGGATCACATTACACAAGTGCCAAGATCTTGGAAGGAGTTTTAGAGATTTTATTCTTTTTAGCTATAATATACCTTATGTGGGGCATCTGTTTGCATCCATTTCCCACTTCAAAAGGCAGGAAATTATGCTATCAATTTTCAGCAGGCACAGTCAGAAAGCTACACTTCACAAAGGAAGCTTGGGGGTGACAAGTTGCTCACCCTTGCTTTAATCTCATCACCCTACTATACACCTATGTATGCCTGACACAGTTGCATTTATATAGATGGGGCCTATTGTCACTCTCTAAGCACAATGTGGGTGATTAACCTGGGTGATGTGGAATTCAGGTAGTATATTGTCATTTCTTCTTTCCACCCTCAGCCCAGGAGGATTCCTTTTCTTGTACTTCCTCCTATTCTTAGAGGCTTTCCTTATCCTTTTCCTTTGAGATTCTCCTTAGATGTGTGAATCCGGCAGCTGCTGCCTTAAGAAGGCTATCAAACGTTTTTATACTGGCCAATTTCCTTGTATTTCTCTTGCATTGTTGAATGGGAAGATGGCAGGAAATGTATATATATAGCTACTGAAACATTGGATCCTGTGATTCTGATTCAACAGACTTCCATAGAATATTTGATACCCATGTCTAGCCATGTATCAGATCAAGACTGGCCCGGCTTATGTGTTCATATTAGCCCTTGGTATCCCTATGCATGTGATTGCTTTCTGCACCATGCAGACAAGGCTGCCATGCTACTACTGGGCAGCTGTCTTTATATAAACTAAGGCATTTAAAGATTTGGGTGACACGGTGGTTCAGCAAATTAAAATACTGGGCTTGTCAGCTGGAAGCCCATGTTCGTACCCGATCATCACGTGATGGGATGAGCTCCCGTCCTTGCTCTGGCTCTGCCAACCTAGTAGTTTGAAAGCATGCAAATGCGAGTAGATAAATAGCTACCACTATGGTGGGAAGGTAACAGTGCTCTGTGACCTCATGTTGGCCACACATGACCGTAGAAATGACAGCTCAATGGTCTTGAAATGGAGATAACTATTGCTCCCTTTAGTCGGCAATGACTAGCAGAGTAAAATCCACAGGGACTCCTTTTTTATTTAATGATTCAGCAGTTGCATTTGTACAGTATACTAAATTTGATTAGTGTTAATCATGGACAAGTTAGGGCTTAGTGCACTGTGTAAATCCAGTTCATTTGGTTTGTTTAGGATTCAGTGTATTGGATGAGCTGAGCTGAGAAGTTAAATCTAAATAAACTAAATGTATTGTGGAAACATTGATAAGGCTCCTGAAGGAAGGTGAGATCAAAAGAATCCTCCACTTTTACACATGGGTCATCTAGCAAAGGAGTCCCCTTTTGGGAAGTATTTATTTCTTTTCTTCAGGAGCCCTTCCTCATAGTTTCTTTATCTTCTTTCTCCAGCCTTCCTGGATTCTACTATATAGCATTGCACAGGTAGGCCTTCCACAAACAATTAACATGCCATAAGTGGACATTCTCAGAAATTATTTAAGTACACTCAGTCCTACTCATGAGAACAGAATCCCCTGCTTGATGATAACCAACTGATAGCCATGTTGCTCAAGGAGGTCTGACTAATCCTCCCAACACATTCCTGGAGTTATGATTGCAAATGCTTGACCTCCAGACAGGGCCATGGCCAATCCCTTCATCTTCCTGTTGTTTTCCTCCTTGTCTTTCTTCCTGCTCTTGCTATCAGATCTTTCTGCCTTTTTTGGAAGATGCCAGGCAGGGGGTTTTAGGGCCTGCCCTCATGGGACATCTGCAGGATTAATTCTGCATAGAACAATGGCTGGTTTCTATGTGGGTTTTTCTTTTAAAAAAAAGTTATGACAAATCTCATATTTGCTAGAAAGCCATGCCCATCACTATTTTGCTAAAATCAGGAGATCACCCAAGCTAGAAGTTAAGTGTCGTACAATCAAGTGCACATGCTCAAACACTATAGCAACATTATGGTCGCACAAAATAAGATGTGGGTTGGTAGAAGGAGATCTAGTGAACATTTCCCTCCCGCAACCTAGGTGTACCTAAAGAAATCCCTCTTTACAATAACAACTCATCCTTTCATTTTATTTTCCCATTTCTAGGAGCTGAACTGGATATATTGCTAAATATGTTTGATATACAGCAATTGTACTCTTTATGGCTGAAGGTAACTTCCCTGCCCCTACCAACTGACATTTATTGAAGAGGAAGGGTGGTTAATGGAAAGGAAGGCTCCGCTGCAGGCATCTGTGGCTGGGGATGAAGCAGGCATGGGGGCAGAGAGGAAAGACTTGTGAGGGAACTGAATGAGACACATCCTCAGACCCCATCCCAGCATGAGGAAGGGAAATAGAGTCTAATAACAAAACATTATTGTCTGTAGCAGTGGTGGCGAACCTATGGCACGGGTGCTAGAGGCAGCACTTAGAGCCCTCTCTGTGGGCATGCGCTGTCACCCAGTCCTAGGCCTTCAGCTGGGTTTTATAAAATCTTTTCGCTTTAGGCTTCCGCCGCCATGTGCAAAAAAAAAAAAGTTCAATCAATGTCAATTTTAACTTCTTGCAGGAAAAAAAAGATCTTGCAAAGTTGGAATTGATTGATTGAACTTTTTAGTCCCACCCAGTCTGCCTTTACCTCCACAGCCACGCCCACCCAATGGGCCACACCCACCCAATGGGCCACAGCCACCCAATGGGCCACACCCACCCGGCACTCAACGATGCATAAGTGGGTTTTGGGTTGCAGTTTGGGCACTCAGTCTCTAAAAGGTTCGCCATCACTGGTCTATAGCAGTGTTTCCCAATCTTGACAATTTTAAGGCATGTGGACTTCAACTCCCAGAATTCCACAGCCAGCAAAGCTGGCTGTGGAATTCTGGGAGTTGAAGTCCACATGCCTTAAAATTGTCAAGATTGGGAAACACTGGTCTATAGTAAGGATCTTTGTTGCAATTGTATTTGTTCTGACAAGGATGTTCATCTGATGAAATTAAATTAGGCATTTAAAAGACTGATCTATTCATCCAGAGAAATCAATATATAAATGAATAGAGCCAGATCATTTTCCCAGGAGGGCCAGTTAAAAAACAGATCTTAGAAACAGAACCCCAGATTACCACTAGTGATCAGCCATAGCTTATAGTTCGCACAACACATTATTAATAAGCTATAAACAACAGCCCAGCATTTGGTAGCAGACCCATACTTGCATATAGACAGCCAGTCAGCCAGAAGTAGATTCTCATAAATAACCAGAAACAACAGGATATGTTAATATGAGAAACAAACCCTGGAACAAGCCCAAATGCGTACTTTGCCCATATTTACCCCAACATCACCATCATATGCTCCAACAATTTTCCACACCAGGCTAGAGGTGCCTTAACATGTTCTTCCTCTAAAGCACAGGTGTCAAACTCGCCATATCACATGACGTGTCGTGACTTTTTTTGCACTGCCAGAGCTGGAGTGGGAGCGGCCTCCGCATGATGCAACCGGTCCGCGGGCCAGCAGTTTGACACCCCTGCTCTAATGCAAGGCTTCTGCAGTCTGCATAAATTACTCAGAACTGGGTAAAAGTGTTTTTTCTTTGAGTAACAACACATGAACCCATTATCCTTCACAACAGGGATAATAATAATAATAATAATAATAATAATAATAATAATAATAAAAAGTTGGAAGGGACCTTAGAGGTCATCAAGTCCAACCCCCTGCTCAGGCAGGTAACCCTAAACCCTATTTAAATTGACTTAAAGATTGCCATGTGTACTAAAATATATTCAGAAATCTCCCAAAGTATTACTTTTAAGATGGTAATTGATTATATTACCAATGAGAACTTGTTGAAATGACATAAAGATTATTCAATGATACTGTTTTTATAATGTAGATAGTTCTCAAGTACACCAGTCCTCAAAGTTTGATAAGATTTTCTGATAAGCAGTTTTAGGTAATGAAGGAAACTGCTCTAATGTGACATATGTTGTCATCTGCTAGCAAAACCTCTCAGGATTCTGTTAGGACATACAGGTTGGATTTTGTGCAAAAGAATTAATGGGCATACAACTGATATCGGCATTTAAAACAAGTAATAACAGGATATTTTAACCTCCCAGAACTCTATTACAGATCTCAAACTTACAATTTAGAACAAACAAACCAAATCAGCACAACTGAGCATGAGCTACCTGAGCTTACACATATCGAAAGGTTTCATAGGTAACTCAGAAAGCATGAATCAATTCAGCTGGCTTTTAACATATTACAATTGTTAATTGATAATAAACCTATAATTTGACCTCCATACAACCTTCATAATCACTCTGTATTCCCACCTTCCCCCTCCCCATTTCATCCCAATGTAGTTAAGCCACTCCATGCATTTGATGAAATGAGTGAAAGCTTATGCCTTTTAACATGTTTAGTCTCAAAAGATGCTACCAGACTCTTTCTAGTTTTCATAACCATAGATTAATATAGCCATCCTTCCACAACAGTGCTGCAATTTATCTCTGCAGTTTTATTGTTTGTATTGCTTTAATTTCATTAATTTCATAATGAAATGGTCTGATGCATCTCCTCTGATTGGCAATATCAGGTGATGTTCATCCTCAAAATGTGAAGGACTATGTAAGACATAAAGAGTATCCACTGGGAAAGAGGAAGGAAAGAGAGAGGGAATGCAAAATAAAGAAGAAATCTGGAGATAGAAAAAATAATTTTAGCAAAGGGATATACAAGGCTGCCTAGTGAAAAATAGTGTCTGTTGGGTGCTCTCATGAGGGTTATACGGAATGGGCAGGGGATGATGATGATGATGATAATGATGATGATGTAATAATAAAACTTGTGTACTGCCCAACTCTCAATGACTCTGACTCACAACTCTCAAGCAAAGAAATTAAAATAAAAAATAAAGAAAACATGGCAAACATGATGAAGTGAGGGGATCTCTCCCTCTCCCTTGTTTTACAGAGAAGTAAAACAGAAGGCTTCCTGGAAAATGGGATTTTAGTGTACGCACTGGTATCTCTCCAAAGCAAATAAAGAAAGGAAAGTCTACATGCCAAGATGAAAAGGGGGAGTGAGAGGTCGTGTGTACGAGTGTACATATAAACGATGAAAGTAGCATAAAGGTTTCATAAATTGCTATGGGGAAGGGCGAAGAATGTAAAGTCTGCACTGGAGCCACAGCAGATTTTTCAAAAGGAAGAGGGTAGAGGTCTCCAGACTAGGCCAGCCTCAAGCCCAATTGAACAAACATCATCGTTGAAGGCATATCCCAAAAGACAAAGCACTTGCCAGCTTGAAAGGCCATTTCACCCAATTCTAATCATGTCCCCAGTAGCAAGGAGTCAAGTAAAGAGGTGACATTTCTATTGAGAGGAGCAGCAGCAGCAGCTTGGCCGTATCACCATACAGTCTTAAAATATCGTGCTAAAAACGTTTCAATCGGGAGGGGAATGAGAAAGAGGGACAAACATTTCCTAGCCTAGAGCTCAGAAATCTGGGATGGAGCCAAGGACAAGAGCCAGACAAATGTCTATGAGTAGACGGTCCAGCAGATGCAAGTCCCAGCTGCGTGGCCTATTCCCCTTTCTAAGAAAACCCAGAGCAGCAATTGGAGCAGACACTTTCTTTTACCAAGAGAGAGCTGGATATTTCAAAACAAAATCATTCCATCATGCATTTAAGGTAAAGAAAAACACTGTCAATAAGAAATTTGTTGCTCTTAATTAGGGTTACCAGATCTAGACTATAAAAAACAAGACTGCTCAAAAAATCCTCTTTGTGGCCATCCAGTGATCATCTGGATCATTGCAGCCCACATTTGGCAACCTTTGAAAGGAGCCATTCAACCACATTTGAAAACCTTCAAGAATACTCCACATTTTGTCCCAGTTTATTAAACATTCGAGCCATCTGCAAAATCAGAAACAAATTAATGATATAATTTCAGTCCCAATGTAACTGAACCTCTTTTCATATCTTAAGTCCCAACAATCATGTTGTCAAAGAACTTGAATCTCACTGTGATAAAAATGAAAAGACCACTGTTTCTGAAAACATTTGTATGTTTATGGCATGTAGTTATTCTATTTATAATTTGCAGTAAGCCCTAAAGTTTTAAAGTTTTCATGACTCGTGACTTGTATCACCTTAGTCAAGCACTGAATCCCACCCATCCAGAACCACTGTTGTGCAGAATTTTCTACAACCTGGGGCTCTCTTAAATGCATTGGGATTGCCATTCCCAGAATTGTACAGCTAGCAAAATACTAACTCTGTAAGCAAGTCACAATTACAATTGGCATTGATCATTCTCCTGAGAAATGAGTTCTGCCACCTATGACATTGCTAGTTCTGTTCCAAATGAATGCATTACTGATTCTCTGCTACTTCTGCTGAAAAGGAGTTTTATATGGCCCTCTTTATGTTTTTATTTCAAGTGACAATTTTGTCTACTCCTATGCTATTTTATCTACTTCACAGGCTACTTCTGAGTGTTGCCAGTGACAGCCACTTGCTGCCAGCATTGCTGCTTCCTTGAACATTTGTCAGTTTGGAAGATATTGTAGGTGGACTCCACTTAACAAGTCTGGTCTATATTCCTTTCTAGGACAGGGTGCTAGAAACTGACTTGAAGGTTCTTGAATATTGGCAGTGATAATTAAGTTGACTCTGTCATTTGAGGCTAGAAAGGGGAGGAGAGAGGATGTTGAACCTGCACAGCAACATAATCATTACATACTTTTGTTGAAGCAGTTTGGAATTTGATGATTGGATGTCACGTGATTGCAAACGATGACTAGGTTGATGTAATGCGCTTAAATAAGTTAATTAAATATCTAGTTGGGTCATTCACATATAAATTATGTATAGGATTAACAGACGTGTATGTGTAGCTTAACATGCTGTTGGAAATTCTATTTGCTCAGTTTACGTTTCAATATATTGCGCGAATTGAGAACACTAATAATAATCAGGTTCACCTAACCTAAAAAGGTACTTTTTCCTATTTTCCGGCAACGGCGAGGCGGGATAACAACAAAACCCATCTTCCGAGGCGGTGCGAACGATAATTTCTCAAGTCGCCTCCACAGACCGCCCTCTGATGGGCGCAGCACCTTCCCTTGAGTGGCGCTCTGCACAGCCGATCAACGTATCTTTATGACTTCCGCCTTCACTTTTCCTGTTTCCGGTCTCGCCCTCCTTCGGCGGCAGCGGGGCCTGTGGGACGATGGCGGCTGTACGGGGCCTCCGTATTTCGGTGAAGGCGACCGAGCCGGAGCCCATGGAAGTGGAGGAGGGCGAGTTGTTGCTTCAGACCGGAGCTCCCGCTACCACCTCGCCTCAGATAGCTACGGCATCCGCAGAGGAACTAGCCGTGCCGGTGGGGCGCTCGCTGAGGGAGTTGCTGCCGGTAACGGAGCCTGGGGAACGGGCCGGGTGGAGGGATCACAATCCGCCGCTTCCGGAGGCCTTTAGACACATAAATTGGGATTCGAGGCTTAAAAAACAGGGCATTCTTTGCGCATGTGTAGACTGCATTTCCATGACCAAAGAGACTGAATTCGCTGTATCCGGATGAATGGAGTTACCGAGATACGCGGATGTTGACAAATAGGCAATGCAGCCTTGATTTAAAAGATCTTTGCTTTCTTCCCTCGTTTCTCCTTCTGCCTCAGACTGTTTGCATGGCTGCCTGGCCCCAGATAGAAGCTTTCCCAAGATTTGGCAGGTTTGCACTAAAAAGGGAGTATTATGAACTTACTTAACTTGGGCTTCGTCATTTCACAGACAATGCAGTGTAGCTGAGGAGATTTCTTTAGGATGCTTCATGGGCTCATGGAGGACATGATGGAGATGGCGGCTTTCTCATAGGTGGCAATGCTCTTTTGGAGGCTGGTGAGGAATGGTAGAAATTTACCAGTCCTTTACTTTGGGCTTCAAAAAAACAGGTACATCAGTTTAAATTTAGCAGGAAGCCTCAGAAAAACAAGAAAGAGCAACTGAAATGTTTTTTAGCTTGGATGGCCCTTGTTAATAAATTGATTTGGATTTTTGGGAATTGGGAGATGACAAAAGGTTGAAGCAGAGTTTCTAGGAGAACTTCAGATTAGGAAAGTATATTATAACTTTCATCGTTAATTGGGGACACTACCCTACAGAAAGGCACTTTGTTCAATAATTATATTAATGATTGTTTTATTTCAGGATACTAGCCGAAGATATGAAAACAAAGCTGGGAGCTTTATCACTGGAATAGATGTGACTTCAAAGGTATTTACGTACAGTGATGTGCTTTTCATTCATTTTGGAAACCTGGAAAATGTCAAATTTCAGATTCATTGATGTACATGTATACATATTGTTATATGTATATATATTATGTGAGTTTCAATCCATTTCAGTATATAGGCATATCTCTACAGCATGACCTTCCACCTTTAAAAATAAGGGTTGTTGGCAGGATCCAAGTAATCTGTTATTTGCAATTGTGTAAATTATCTGTTCTTTAATAAGTATATAATGGCAAATGTAATAGTTTTCATTATTTTTTTTCTCTAGAATCTCTCAGTGTGAGCTTCCCTTCATAGTTGACTGATCTCCATACATAACTCTGAGCCTGAAGAAATATATTTTCATTCCCCAATACAAACAATATTTAAATGGGACTGTGACAATTCAAATAATTGAAATAACATTTGACACAAGAACGTGGTCTCAGTATGCCTGGGAAATGGTTGATTTTTCCTGTCATCTATCATCAGCTTCTCTGATTAATTATTCTATAGTTATTTGCAGAGATTGGGCTATGGCACGCTGGACTCATCCCCAGTTGTAGGAAGGCTATTGAATACAGTTGATATTTTATTGCAAGAAGCAATTTATGGGAAGATTTTGTATCCTGAAACAATTGGGCTTCTGCATATTTTTCTTAAATGGGAAGTTCCTGCTGTGAACATGAAAAATTGTAGCTGTCTAAATTTATTGAGAAGCTTTTTTAATGGTGGCCTGGATTTTATTTCCCAATTGCATCATTCCCTTCTGTCAGGGAGAGCCAAATGTTTCTGCATCACATGGAGACTTGATAGAAGGAGCAAGTTGTTTTTCCAGTTATACTGCATAAAGCATCAGACCATAATTTCTGCTGCTATTCCATACAGGTAATGTTGTAATACTGCAGAGTAGCACAAAAAATGAATTTAGGTTTTAATACATATGAATGTCTTTTCTGTTTTTTGCAAAGCAGATATCTGCTGTTACTACCAGTCACTTGGATATTCAATCACCTATTTTTTTCCTTTTTGTAGGAAGCGATTGAGAAGAAGGAGCAGAGAGCAAAACGTTTTCATTTTCGTGGAGAAATCAATGTTGCTCAAAGAAATGTAACACTGGATCGAGATATGATGAAGAAAGGTACTGAGAACTGTGTGCTCTGTAAACAAGTAAATCTTCCCATTTGTTCTGGGCTTTGTAAAACTTGGTGTTTTGGTCTTTCAGGTTGGATGAAATGCACAACTGATCTTCCGTAATGAGTGTATTTTTCAGTGGATAGCTTTGTATAGATGAGGAAAGAATCCAAATGTTTCATTTTTTAATTTCAGCAAATGAATTAGTAGAGTAGAGCAGTGATGCTAGTAGTTTGGGAATCAAGCACTTTGTGTAGAAACAGTATGTTGGCTGCCACCTCATGTTTGCACTTTTCAACCATTCAGAATCAGTTGCCATGAACTGGGGGTGGGGTGGGGGTGCTGGATGGTAGGTGGGATGCTTGGGGAAACAAAACTTCACTGTATCTTTCTGAGATAGACTTCAAGGACAACCGGCTGGGAACCAAATGCAGCTGCATACCAAACCTATGCCTGAAGTGACTGTTCAGAAAGCATCTCCTCTGAGTTTGATATGACATGGGAGGCAACTGAGGGAGGGAAAAGTTAGACTTGGGGATTTTGGGATATTCATTTCTGGCTATGCATTACTGTAATTCACTTGACTTCTAGTAAACTATACCTTTCTCAGTAAATGGAGTTACGGATCATTCTTATTTAGAGGTTCAAGCTGAGGCAAGTCTGACACAATAGGTGGGTAAATGTTTATTTTAGTACATAGTTATCTGCTATGTACTGAGTCAAATCATTAGTCCATCTAGGATGGTATAATAGTGGAAGATATCGGAAGTGAACTTCAGGACATATAATTTTACGTGGAAATATGCTCACATTGAAAAAGCTAAAGTCTTCTTATGCAACTATGGTTCCTGTGATCTTTAAATGAGAACAAATATTGTTGAATTTAAAGGGGGGGTCATCATTCTTTTGAAAACAGTGAATAATGCACATTGTAAAAATCTATTCAGATATAAATCTGAATAGATTTTTACAATGTGCATTATTTACTGTTTTCAAAAGAATGATGACCCCCTATCACTCCTTTAACCTTGTTATGCCTACATTAGGGAAAGAATTCCAAGATGGACTATGGAAAAGGGAATGAAAGGAATCCTTTTCCAGGTTTTTCATCTAGATCAGTGATGGTGAACCTCTTAGAGACTGAGTGTCCAAACTGCAACCTAAAACCCACTTATGCATCGTCGAGTGCCGGGTGGATGTGGCCCATTGGCTGGGCATGGCTGCGGTGGTAACGGCAGACTGGGTGGGACTAAAAAGTTCAATCAGTCAATTCCAACTTTGCAAGATCTTTTTTTTCCTGCGAGAAGTTGAAATTGACTGATTGAACTTTTTTTTTTGCACAGGGCGGCAGAGGCCTAAAGTGAAAAGGTTTTATAAAACCCAGCTAAAAGCCTAGGACTGGGGCAACGGCGCACATGCTCACAGAGAGGGCTCTGAGTGCCATCTCTGGCACCCGTGCCATAGGTTCGCCACCACTGATCTAGATAAATCTGATAATGGGACAAAGCAGCCTTTCTTCCTTTTTTGAACTGTGCTTTCTTGAACCTACAAAAAAGTGATGGAAAGCTGATTTATTTGCATTGTTGCCTGATTTTTTTTGTTTTGCTTGCCTTTTTTTTCTTTTGTTAGTTGCTGACACTTAGACTAGATTTTGAATTTCTTTTAGCCATTCCCAAATTGCGACTAGATACCATATATATTTATGGTGTTGATGAAATGAGCACCCAGGATATTTTTGCCTATTTCAAGGAATATCCCCCTGCTCACATTGAGTGGCTGGATGACACATCTTGTAAGTACTGTTTATTTTAAGCAGAAAGATTATTCTATGGGGATTATCATCTTTATTTTCTGTTAAAAGTATAGTGGGAATAGAAGAGTTTTTCCTTATGACATTTCTCCTACACGTGAGACAGATTATTGCATTTTTCATTATGTGTTTGTAGTTTGGGCACTAACTGAATTTTTTTCTTTCTTTTGAGGCAATGTTGTTTGGCTTGATGAAGTAACAGCAACACGAGCACTTATCAACATGAGTTCTATGCCTGGTGAGGCAAAAATAAAATCCCAAGAAAACTGTAAAAAAATAGAAGAATCCACAAAGAAAGGTAAAAGTCATTTTCTTCCTTAGCCACAGGACTTTGGATTTTGTATGGTACATCTAGGCACATGTTAATTGGTGTTAAGTGGAATTCTGAAATTCACTGCTGAAATCACTTCTGTAGTTCCAGTGATAGTTTTGCTTGCAGAGATCATAGTATCAGCTTCTACCTCTAAATGTTGTACGTATATTTCATCTATATTTCATCACCTGTGTGAAAAGATCGTAGGTAACAAGACTGAAAAGGATTTTCAAGAAAACTATTGATCATAATAAAGGAGACTGAACATGTGAAACGGTAGGCATGTTCAGAAGAATTAACTCAGTTTCAGGCCCTTAGTGCTAATCAGACTTAAGCCTTTATTCCATTTTTATCTTTTTGCTTTTGGTTCAACTCCTTATTTTTATAATTAAATATTTTTATTTGGCTCTCCTGAGTATTTTTTATAAGTTTGTGACATGACACTCTATTGAGGTGGACTATTGGTTTGGCTGAGCTTGTACAGGTAGTCCTTGACTTACAACAGTTCATTTAGTGACAGTTTCAACAGCATTGAAAAAAATGACACAGGACGGTTTTTCACACAACCATTGCAGCATCCCCATGGTCGTGATCAGAATTCAGGCATTTGGCAACTGACTCATATTTATAATGATTGAAGTGTTCTGGGGTCATGTGATCACTTTATAACCTTCTGACAAGTCAGTGGGGAAGTCAGATTCATTAAACGACAAAGTGTTACTAACTAAACAATTGCAGTAATTCACTTAACTGTGGCAAGAAAGGTCATAAAATGGGGCAAAGCTCACTTAACAAATGTCTCAATAACAGAAATTGTGGGCTCAGTTGTGGTTGTAAGTCAAGGAGTACCTGTATTGTCTGCTGTAGAAAGAACTATACTTAATTAGTGGAACCCATTTTGTATACAAAAGTTTTTAGATTCAATTCTGATTATACTAGAAAGATATGGAAAGACTACATCCGGTTTATCTCCAATTTTTGGTTGCTCAGATACAGCAAATAGTTAGGCAGTCCTTGACTAAAGTAATGGCTTTCCCTAATGCAAGAGTGTTTCCTATGCTCTTCCACGTTTCAAGCCAAGTAATAATGCCAATGGCATTACTCCCTGAAAAGTTGTAACCTTGAATGCTTTGGACTGATACTGGGATAATCTGCATGTGAGCCAGGTTCTCTGTCCCTGAGCTACTTGGTACTAGGTAGAAAATGTATTTCTTTCATAAGAAGTGTGGCTCATTTTGTGTTCATCTTGAGGCTCATCTTCATCTTCTTCCTTTTCTGAGTCCTACATGGCTTTAGTGCTGGGAACCTGGAGAGTCAATATTGGAGTGCAAAAGGGCCAGCTGCGTTCCATTCATTTACTAGGTATAGACAAAGTAATTATTGTAAAATATATTTTTGTTTATTTTAGAAAAAGAGGAGGAAAACTCAGATGAAGAAACGGAAGAAGGTGAGGTAGAAGATGATCATCCAAGTGATATAGAGGTTAGTGTAGTATGTTTGGGCTGTGACCAAGTCTGTTTGAATAAGAACCAAAAAAAGAAACCAAAATCAAGGAACAGATTACCTATATAGTCCTCCACAACTTGAGCATTGTCTAGATGTATGGTCTTCCTAGCATTCTTAGCAGTTACCATGCTAGCTGCTTCTGGGAGATGTTCTGCGTACCTGAAGAGGGTCCATAATAGGGAAAGCTGAAATGAAATAGCAGAATATGACTAATGAGTATCTACAATCTAATTTGCCATGGGGGGGGGGTAAGTTTCATTGATAAGCTCAAATAAAATGAAATTATAACATAGTAACTGTGGTTGGCTGCATATTAGACCAATAACAGGCCCATTAAGCTGAGCTGAGCTTTGTGCTCTTCTCAAAGACATATATGTCATCTTGTAATTTGATTGAACTGAATGAAAAAATCTGAAAGCAAAATCAAAAACTGGGCTGGTTTCTTCAAGCTGAGATATCTTGAATTGAACTAGAACAATACCTTTGTGGGTTTTTTTTTTCTACAGCTGGACACTTTATCCCAAGTGGAAGAAGATTCCCTTTTGCGTAATGACCTTCGTCCAGCCAGTAAGCTGGCCAAAGGCAACAAGCTCTTCATGAGATTTGCCACCAGAGGTAAAGAGCTTGACCTATACAAAGAGTCCATTGCAATGCAGTGCATAGTTACGGCTCAGTTTGTCTTGGTGTTATGGTCTACAGCAGACAAGTCAAACTCACGATGTCACGTGACATCGCGTAATGTATCGGGACGGTTTTGCCATTGCTGGCAATGGGGTGAGTGAAGCTTCCAGATGGTGCGTCCGGCTCACGGGCCAGCAGTTTGACACCCTTGGTCTACAGAAATCTTTCATGAACCTTGAAATAAAATGAATTAGCTATTTCCCATCTATACAGTAATTAACCAAAAATTTCACAGAAATTTCAAAAGAATTAAAAGTATTTGTAAATCTGTAAAAAAAAAAAAACCTTGGTAATAATATGTAATGTGTTGCTGGAGTGGTGAAAATCTGGGTGCCAAGTGATCCTCTCTGGAAGGCTCTGCATAACAAAGATGCTACTGAAGAGAAGCCCATCTCTTAAGAGTCACCAAATGTATCAGAAAAAGTTTTATCTGTGTAGGTTTTCATCTCATCTTTTAATCTTTCCTAATGCTTTCCACTCTCAGATTCATAGGCTATAGATCAGGTATCAGCTTTCTGTGAACTGCATGAAGCCACAGCAATGAAATGTGATTGTGATTTTTTTTTCTATTTGTTGCATTTTAAAATATTTTTAGTGAAATAACACTCATATTTAGATAGTAAGCCTCTACAGAATTAACCCTTTTGTTTTGAGTTAAAAAACAAAAACAAAATCCACATTAAAAAGCATTAGGGTTACATTTTAGCCATTGAAATTGATTCCCACTATGGAAAAAATTTGTGATTGGTTCCATAGTTCCACTAGTGTAGAATGTTCCTGTATCCAATTAGCATTTGTGCTACTCTTACAGATGACAAGAAGGAGCTTGGAGCTGCCAGGAGAAGCCAATATTACATGAAATATGGAAATCCTAATTATGGAGGCATGAAAGGCATCTTGAGCAACTCATGGTGAGCTGGGAAGAGATACCCCTTGGAAATTGTATTATCCAAAATATGAGCTATTGTGTTAGCTTGATTCCTTCATTTGAAAGTACCTTTCATTTCCCACATCTCCTATGTCTGTCAGGCTAGGAAGATGTATGGGAAGTATCTTCTCAGTATGCTCTTCATTCTCTATAGCAGCATCAGTTAATGCACTGGATATATTAGGGCGGTCTTTAGTCCAGGCCCATCTTACTATATTCTTGGGGTGTGGAATTAGGTACATGCTTGATTACAAGAAGACATTACAAGTAGAAGAACTGCAGCAGACAGCACAAGAAATAAATACTCAGGAATACTGGAAATAGGAATGCTCTTGAATGCAGGAAATATCTAGAATACTTTCCTAGACTCCATATAATTTTAAGTTGTAGTTTGAAAAATTGCCAACATATCTGCAAGACTAAGTTAATATGTATATCAGGGGATGGGTTAACCATTAGGGGAAAAACAGGCTTCTTGGTTGTGATAGTTGACACAATGTGCTAAAGCTAATCCTGGATTAATAAAATACAGTTATGTTGAAGAAATGTAAACTATGTTATAACACAGTGGTCTGGTTCATATGGCCCATTAGGATGCTTGCTGGAATCTCAGAACACTGAACTATAGCCATAACCAAGCTTCATTTTATTTTGTCATGGTAGTGACAAAAGAGAAAATGAAAGTTCATCATTTTTCTGGGTCATTTGCAAATGGAGGAAGGCACAACCAAATCATCCCTCAGCAAAAATTCACTGGTTATATCTAAATTGTCTATAATAAGCCCAGTTTTTAGTGAAAGATTATAGGAAAAGCTTATGTTGGTGCACGTGATAGCTGCAAATCTTCCTTGTCTTTGCAGGAAGCGAAGATATCATTCACGCCGACTTCACCGGGATGTAATTAAAAAAAGAACTCTCATTGGGGATGATGATGGTCTGACGCCCCCTTATAAACATCATTCAGGTAAGTGAAAACATTTTTGTAATGCAAGCAAATTATAACTACAGTTGGTCTGTTGTACATTATAAAACTGGAGTATGTATATAAAACTGGTGTATGAATATGTGTGTATGTGTATTTTTTTTCTGACATAAAGGCTTCATTACCTAATTTTGCATGTACCGTATATGCCGGCGTACAAGGTGACCCGGCGTATAAGACGACCCCCGTCTTTATCGCCGGGCCGCATTCCTAGAACGTCGTCTTATACACCGGAAACTACCAGTATTTCCGGCGTATAAGACGACCCGGCGTATAAGACGACTCCCGTCTTTGGCGCCAATTTTAGCGCTCGCGGAAGTCGCCTTATACGCCGGCATATACGGTATATGGGCTCTCCAGTAAAAACAGTTATCTGTATTACAGAATAGCATTGTGAAATCAAAATAGGAAGGAAAAACTGGGTTTTGGGACTGTGCCTTCATTCCTCTCTAAAAGCAACAGAAAGTGTTATTCCTGGAATATAGGCCAAGATAGTTTAAGAATCGAAGTAATCGTATGGAGCAAATAACACAAATAGGAAAAAAAACACTAGATAAATATTTTAAGGCAAGAGTTGGCGTCATCATTCAGCCCCAAACTCAGATAAAACTAATTGTTTCAACCTTTAGAATTGGTTCTTGCAAAACCAAAACAGCCAAGAATTTGCACATGCAAATGACATGTATGAGCAAACTAAAATACCACAACTAGGGAACAAACTTTATTCTACAGAAACTTCACTGAGATCTTTATACTGACATCTCGTGACTAATCTTGCACTTTAAGCTCTTTTTTAAGGTTTCTAAGAAAATGTCCATAAAGAATGTCACCTCAACTAGCTGATCTTGACAAAAAATATTCAGTCAGACCCAATTATTACTTGGATGGGGAACTATCTGGAAATCTGCAAGTATTTCTAAAATTATGAAATCAAACCATTCATAAATGCCATAATCCAAATATCACAATAACAGTAAACAGAGAAGCTTAGCTTATAATCAGAAAAGATACCATGGACTGGCTTCTAGAAATTATTAAAATAAGAGCAAAGGTTTCCAGTAGTGTGTCTTTGATTCCTGCTTCTTGATTTTCAAATACCATCAGTTAATGTTTTCAGGAGAGTGACCTGTTCCGTATTTCTGACATCTTATTCTACCTGGTAAAAGTTGCTTTCATCCAAGAGGCTGCTATTACTATTTATGCTGCTCTGTGTCAAAATGAATGCTCAGTATATTAAACACCTATTTATTAACAAATAAAGGAGCAACAGTGACCCAGAGAACTGTATATTTTGTCCACTCATTCATAATGGTTAAAATAAAATAAGACTTTTCTTAGTTGAGGAGGTGAACCATATTGGGCAGAAATGATCTGATTCCCCATAGCCACTCTGACACTTGGATGGAATAAATAGTAATGGTCATTGTAATTCAATAAGTGTCCAATGACATCTGTGGGTTAGTAATGTTCATGATATTTTCTGGAGTTAAGTATGAGTTGTTTACCTAGGTTGGGCAGGCAACCTTGGCTCTTTTATGACTCGTGGATTTCAACTCCCAGAATTCCTGAGCAAGCATGGCTGGCTCAGGAATTCTGGGAGTTGAAGTCCATGAGTCATAAAAGAGCCAAGGTTGCCTACCCCTGACCTAGGTGATGATTTCAGAGCCTTTCCTATCAAGAATTAATGACAGATGAGAGCTCATCTTTATCTGCAAAGTAAAAAATTATTTTGGAATTTAAGTGAATGTTCATTTGAGAAACCTTTTTAAAAAATTTATCCTGGGTTTTTTCTTCCCTATAGTTTCTTATGTTGCTGGTTTGTTTATGATTTTATGTATCAAATAGCACCTTTGCGAGGAAAGCTCTGCCTCAACCTAATGAGCAAGTGCTTAGGTTTGATGTTACTTCGGTCTGGAGGACATTGCAGAAAGTTAACATTTGGAAAGCGGCAAGCCTGGATAATATCCCTGGGCGAGTTCTTAGGGAGCGTGCAGATGAGTTGGCCTGTGTTCTTACAGATATTTTTAAGCTTTCATTGTAGCAGGCACTGGTCCCTTCATATTTTAAGACTGGAATTATTTTGCCAGTGCCTAAAAACTGTACAGTCGTAAGTCTTAATGATTATTGTTTGGTTGCACTTAACGTCCATCATGATGAAATGCTTTGAAAGGCTGATAAAGGACTATATTGTATCCAGCCTCCCTCCAGCATTTGACTTACTTCAGTTTGCTTACTGGGTGAATCACTCCACGAGGATGCTAATTCCGCTGTTCCCCATCTGAGTTTGGCACACTTAGAGGAAAGAAACACTCATGTGCGAATGCTGTTTGTCAACTTTAATTTGGTATTTAATATGATCATTCCTTCACATTTTGCAAAGAAACTGGGCCTCTTAGGCTTTAGTACTCCTTTGTGCAATTGGATTCTTGATTTTTTTGCACTGATCGGCCCCAGTACGTGCGAATTGGGACTAATATTTCTAGCACCATTTCTTTAGCCCAGGTTTTCCTCAGGGCTGTGTCCCAAGTCCACTATTGTTCACCCTGATGACTCATGATGTTGTGCAAAGTTTGCTACCAACCATATTGTGAGGTTTAGTGGGCTTCATTCAGGATGACGATGATGCTTATAGGAAGAGGGTTCAATGAACCAGTGTAATAAGAACAATTTGCTTCTAAATGTAGGGAAAAACAAAACAAAAATCATTGATTTCAGAAAAGTCAGGCACAGCGATACATACCTCTGTGTATTAATAATTCAACTGTGGGGGTGGTTAGGAGTACTGTATTAAGTTTATTGTGGTGCAGCTAACAAGTAGGTTAGCTTGGTCTCTCAACAGTGAGACACTGGTGAAATGAGCATTGCAGCGCCTGCATTTTCTGCGTCGTATGAGAAGACACATCTTCCTTATCATTTTCTATAAAGGGATGATTGAGAATATCCTGTCATATGTATTACTGTTTGGTTTGGAAGTATTACTGCTTTGGACTGGAAGGCTGTGTATAGACTAGTGAGGATGACGGAAAAGATTATTGGAAGTTCATTTCCTTCTATCCAGCACGTGGCATATAAGCATTGCTTGACCAGGGTCCACAATATTGTCAGGGACTTTACACATCCTCTCCATTACCAGTTTTCATTGTTGCCTTCTGGGAGGAGGCTTCGTGCTACCTGAAGAAAACAACTAAACTCTGAAATAGCTTTGTAGTAAATAGTATCCACCTTGTTAACTCTCAAGGCTCTTTTTTTCCATTATATATTCAAAATGGACTGTGATTAATATGTATGTAAGTTATGTTGTCATTTTTGTATAACTTGGTACTTTTGGATGCTGCTGGTGTTGTTGTATTACTGTTATCTTTGGGATGGTGACATTGTTTGGTGGATGGCATTTTTTCTTTTGAGAGTGGGCATCAGAATTTCATTTTGATATATGCCATTGTGTATTCAGAAAAATGACAATAGAGGTTATCTTATATTCTTTCCTCTTCATTAGAAGGTAGTCTATTGCTACAATCATTACTGATGTAATAGACAAGCTGTTATTTATGATCATAATTCATGATACATACAGGGAACATGCAATTCTTTAACGGGAATTAGCAAAATAGATTTCTAATGTGCTTAGGCATCAGTAGAAGTCATTTTGGAAAGAGGAAGTACACTAAACCAGCAAAACATTTACTGAATTATTTTTTGGTTTCCTTTGCAGGTACTCCACATACCACCTAATGAAAGGCTTTTGTTTTTTGTATCCAACCATTTTCACACATAGAATGGTGAGTTCGGTTTTAGCCTTTTTAGAAAGATCTTTCTTGCTTTCCAGGATTAGTAAATGTTCCTGAAGAACCAATTGAGGAAGAAGAGGAGGAGGACCAAGATGATGATCAGTATATGGATGAGGATGATCGTGTAGTTGTGGAATACAGAGATGAACTTCAGGCTTACAAGCAGTCTCGTGAACGGAGTGCTCGGCGGTCCAGTGCTAGCGAATCTGATTCTGATGAAATGGACTATGATCTTGAGCTGAAAATGATCTCTACTCCTTCCCCCAAGAAAAGCATGAAAATGACTATGTATGCCGATGAAGTAGAATCCCAGTTGAAGAGCATTAGGTAAGGCTGGTTTACATTGAGAAAGCTCCTAGATTAAGTAATCCTAGATTACTTAGTTGAGCTGATGAGATTTGACCATCAAATTAAGATTGCATAAAAGAAGAAAATTGGTTCAAACTAAGTATGAGGCACACTGGTGATACGAAAAAACAGACATGAAATAAAATAAATTTAAAGCAGAATAAATGAAGCAATTGCAATGTAACTGACCACAGGATTATAATAGATAAATCAGAAACTATTTGAGGGTAAATCAAATTAGGAAAAATATTAAATTCAAAAGATAAAAAGGTGCTGGGGCTCCTTTCCACTCACATTGATGAGCACATTTGGGAAATATTTGCTCATGCTAATATTTAGTCTTCTCTGGCTAGCCTCAGGGTGATCTTTTCTTGGCTTTGAGATGTTCAACAGAACAGAGGTTGGAGCACTTTCTCACTCCAGAACAACTGGAACCTTGATTTTGAAGTACAGATTTACCTATTCTCATTAAACCACACACCTTTTACACAAAAAGGTGTTCTGATGGAGTTTGTAGAGCTTGCAGTTTCCATTCTGATTCATGCAAGATTTTTTTTTTTTAATGTAGAAATTCAATGAGAGCAGACAGTGTCACTTCCAACAATATCAAGAATCGTATTGGAAGCAAAGGAGCCTCAGAGAAAGTTACTGATGTGAGGCTGCTGTTGGAAGAAAAAAGGCATGGGAGTCCTAGCCTGCAACAGCCCCTGAGCTCTGTGAAATCAGGTAAAGGATTCTTTGCTGTTGATTATCCCAACTTACTTCAGCTTTGGAGGACCTGTTTTGTAACATTGTATTACTTGTATAATTCAGAATAAATAGGATGAACAACATGGAAATTTTTCAGGTGCTCGATGCCCCTGCGATGGCATTGTTGATTTGGCCCACTGTTAAGAACTTTCAGATCATTCACCCTCCTGATACTGCATGTGCATGTACACATTCATCCCCATCCACACCCCCAGTCTTCCCATCGGGCTCTTGGATCATGTACTACCACTGGTATACTCAGCTTAATAATGATGCTTATATTCAGATTATTCATTGCGATGATGAGTGTTAGTAAGCAGAGTAAAATTAAATGCATGATTATCCACATATTGTTTCCAGATGTCCGACAGAGGCTTGGCAAGAGGCCACATTCACCAGAAGTTCCTCAGCCTAGCAGCATCTCTTCATCTCATCGTGAGCCTATGTCTGATGTTCATAGTCGTCTAGGGATCCCCAGGCAAGAAGGGAAAGGCCTTTATTCAGATACCAGAGAGAAGAAATCTGGTCAGTTCTGTGCAGTGTTCTGTCGGTCAACTTTTCTGATGCTTTTAGAAGCAATGATGGCCAAAAGATGTAAACAAAGTGTGTAATTCAGCACTAGTTTCTTTTTATATATATAAAAATCATAAGGAACTCTCTGTTGCGGTAGACAGCATGGGAAGTAATATCATGCAGTAGCTTCATTATTGTGCAATGATCTGGGAAGCATAGATTGAAATCTCTGCTGAACTCTGATGCTAATTGAGACGGTCACTGTTTCTTCAACTGCAGGGATGCTGTGACAGTCAAGGACTGATTGTAAATCACTTTTCAGCACTATCATAATTTTGAATGGTCACTAAACAAATGGTTGTAAGTTGAGGATTACCTATAAAGTGTTTTCGATTCTCCGGAAGATTAGAGTATGTTGAATTAATTTTGTACAATAAATGAATCTATCTCAAGAAGAAAGTTTATAAAAACAATATGGCTGAAGTTACTAATTCTGTGCATCAGATCATTCATTGAAAACTTTGGAAAAACCACACACTTAGAGTCATTTGCTTCCTTGGCAATTTGGATTCCTTAGGTTTTCTTGGCTATTCAGATTCCTTAGGCTTCCTTAGCTATTTGGATTTAAATAAAACAATTCTGGCTGAAAAAAAATAGTATTTTCTATACCATACCAAACCAGACACACAAATAGAATGAGTGTCGGTGTCTATGCTTATGGGTGAGAGCCCTGGGGTTAATATTGCTCAAAAGGAATGGTTAAAATATTTCATTTACCAACATTTGGCTCTGCAGAGAGCGATTCTGGGGATAGTAATACCCATTTGCTTTCCCTGTTTTAGCACTATCTTCGCTGTGTGGCATTTTGCCACTTTGTCTGGAATGAAATACAGAATGAAAAGCTCTGATCCTAAAGTTCTCGCAGTGGTAAATAAAAGTGGAAGGTGGCAAAAAAAATAGGTTATCAATGACTTAGGCAGGAATTAATAATATGTAATGATATGTAAGGATAGGGAGAGAAAGATGTAAAAAATGATGGATACTATGTAAACCACTCTGGAAGTCTTTAACAGCTGTAGGCTGAGATACAAAGTACACGAGGTATTACCCCAGGAGAAGAGATATGTATGCCCAATACTTGATTCTTACTGTTCAGAATACATTGTAATTGTAAAATCCTATTTTGGATTGTGTCATTGAAGACTTAATGCCTGTTTGACAGCATGCTTTTTCTCTGCATACAATTCTTACCACGTTCTTCTCTTTGTACAATGACAGCAAATCTACGGACACGTTTGGGATCTTCATCAAAGACGCAGGAAAAAGTCCCAGAGAGAGCAGAAAAACCATCAGTATCACCAGAAGATGACGACTCTGAGCTCCAGCGGGCATGGGGGGCCCTCATTAAAGAAAAAGAACAGTCACGTCAGAAGAAAAGCCGACTTGATAACTTGCCATCGCTGCAGATTGAAATTAGTCAAGAGAGCAGCTCAGGCTCAGACACAGAATCATGATGGCTTTTAGTGCATCCTTGGAGACTGTTCTTTAGCTCC